AAGAAAAGAGGCCCAGCACACATGAGTGCATATAGGTTTATGGTATATATGCTGAGTATTTCGAGGACGTGCTTTTACTTAATGTGGACTGTCATTATGAGGGGAAATGGTTCCCATCGAAAGTAGCGGGTGCTGAACTAAGACTGACCTCTCGCTTTCTTTCATCTCCCTGGTCATCTCTGTTCCTGTAGTTTGCCCTAACCTCATCACAGGCTGCTCTGTTTGTTTGGCCGTAGTCTGAGTGTATTACACACTCGTTGTTCTGTGAAAACCTAATTGCAGTTCAACCAAATGGTCCTCTTCCTTCATCTAAACAAGCGCTCTTCTCCCCTGCTCACCAGTGTGCATGGTCAGAGGGGATCAAAGCGTGTGGTAAGTAGGGACGTAGACTTTGCAGGAGTGAGTGAGGAAATGCTGAGGGCTTTTTGATGTTTTGGAGCGTTTTCTCCGCTAATAAGAAGAAACTTCTCCAACCTGCTCATAATTTTAGAACACTTGGAACACTAATAAATGGGAGCAAGGGCATCTCAGGCAGTTCTCTCAGACTTTTTCCTCCGCTTAATTCATTTAAACCTCTAATTAAAATGCAAAGCATTCTCGTGGTCCTCTGGATTTGGTGCTGCACTCTCGCACAGCCTCTGACTCCCTATCTCCTCTCCTTTTTTTTGCTCCTCTCCCCTGCTACCCCTCCTCTTTCCACCTCACCTAACTCCATGCTCTCATACTCTCTCTGTCTGCCTTTGCTTCTTGTGATCAACACAATTTGACCTCTCACTTGGAAGAAGTGCACAGAATTTAATGGATTTTTTACAGTCTAATCTAACCAGTTCCCTCTTTATTGCTGTTTTGTACCCAGTGGACCTCATCTTTACCAGGCCTCCCCCCTCTGCCGCCTCTTCCACCGTCACACCAAGAAAATTAGTTCATCAGAATTCAAAATGTACTGCCGGCTAATTAAAGGAGTGTTAATTGAGTGTTCAGAATTGGGTACCCCCTTCACCAAATGCACACAGACACACACACACAGAGCAATCACACAAAAAGCACACACGCAATCACAGTGACAGCACCGGGTACACCAAGGACGTTGCGCTTGGGGAGTTTCATGCCAATCAAAAATGGAGAGAAAGGAGAGTGCCCATCCTCCAAGTGAAATGGGATTTCTAGATCATATCATGGCCTATTGCAGCTCAGTTCAGTGCTGTGCTGCCATGTTATCCAATCCCTGCCTTGCTATCTCTGTCTGACCGCTGGAGAGTGGAGCACTGCACAGATAGCCCCTCTCTCACGGCGTGCATCGTGCTAATGAGGGGTGGCATTTAGAGATGTGCTGCTCTGACACATGGGCATTGTGTGCCAGGCACTGGGTGATTAAGGACGAAGGTCAGCCCATTAATTGCCTCCCTGCCATCTCCGCTCCCTGGCGCGTGATCTCTCAGTACTAATGCATGTGTTTGCCTGAGCTTTTATCTAATCTCCAATGCAGTTCAATCACACTATGCTTGGTTTGTTTACATTCCTTTCATGTGAAAGTTTTTTTTCCGCTCTTACTTCTTTTCAAAGCAGCGCTTGCCCAGGTTTTGCTGTTCATTTACTGTGAGCTATTTCATGTGCTTGTGAGTGCACATAGCCTCCTGCTCTCAGGAAGGGAAATAGCATATTCTTCCATCCCCAGGGGAAATAATTAATCCTTACAAGGCTGTCGCATGTTGAAATGAAGCGAGTGTGAAGCATTTAGCCCAGGAGGCATTGCAGGCTGTCGCCCGCACAGGCACCTGTTGTTGTCCCTGCCCTACATTTCATGAGAGAGCGCTGAGCAGAGGATAACAACATGCTCCACTGATGGCAAATGAGACACACAACTGCCGATGCAGGTGTGTGTATGCATGCGAATGTGCCTCCCCCCATTTTTTTTCCCTGTTTTTCTGCATGATGTTTGCATGCACGACCACGCTAGAGAGTGTGCACAGGTGCAGGAAACCCCCCCCCCCTCCTCCCACCTTATGAGGAGGTAAGGGCTCGCACAAAGGAGGCAGTACTGGCGGCCTCAGAGGGTGTTTATCAGTCCGCACCATCTGTATGCTGCTGCTCATTGCTATGATCTACTGCAGCCTAAACCAATAAGTCACAGAGCGCCAGCCTAAAAAGAGACTCACTCCTTTAACCTCCATGTCCTCACTTATAGACTTACTGCTCTGGAGGAGAGAAATGTAGAGACCCCGCACATCAAACACACAGTGTGAATAACAATGTGTGTATGAGAGTGAAATATGCTCTGGTTTGTGGCCATACTTAGGCTACTGTAATCAACTTTGCTATAAAATTTTTACCGTGGAACTTTTTAAAGAGGAAGCCAGAATCAGAAGCATCCAGATGCTCATTTGCCTCCTCCTCCTCCTCTTCTTCCTTTATGCCCATGGGTTCTAATAACCGGAAGCCTTTGTGGAGCTGAGATGGGTTTTGTAGGCCTGAAAGGCCTCTAATCCCTGTGGCCTGTGAAGTGTGAAACCCTTTGATGCCAGGTTGGTGTGCCAAAGGCTCTGCCTATTGACAAACAAGGGCCAAGCTGGGAAAAGACGGAGGGAGAAGGCTTTCTCCTCTCTCTCTCTCTCAGAAGAAATGCAGGCTCAGGCATGGAAAATATGGGCTCAGTCAGTGAGAAGGAATAGAATTAGCCACCCTGTAATGAATTTCCTGGCTGTTTTTATAGTTTTTTTCCTCATGTGGCAGTAATTGGGTGGAATGATGGGCATACTGCAGCTGGGGGCTTATAGGGGCGGCAGGGCACAGGCCCTTGATATGCCTGAAAGCCAAGTATCTTTCCTCATTTAGACCATGTGATGATCAAAGATGTTTTTTTTGCCCTCATGTAAAGATGATCAGAAAAAATGCTGCCATCCATTTGCATGTGGACCAGCAATGTGCTTTGAAATGAGCATGTTTTTTTCTTCTGAGCAAATAAGTCTTCTGTCAGTTTTCCTCTGCAAGTCAGAACATCAAAGCAAATGGCACTGCTGTCACCAGGGAAGCAGGGCTTTGCCTCAGTAAGGTTGGTTAGATCTTAGATAGGCTAGCCTGGCATACTCAGACAAGCCCATTAGAATGACACCCTAAATTAAAATTAAATAATTAATGTCAGCACATTTTTTTCCTTTCTTTTACAAAATTTAAAGCCTAATTTGATGCCATAGAGTTTCTGATCTGGAAAGCATGTTGCCTGTCGGATGAAACAACACGCGTATAATAGTTCAGGCACTAAATTTGGCTTGGAATATTCACAGTTTCTCCAGTCTGCTGTTAAATTCCCAATTTATTTCTTTTATGATATGGATCTTGTAGATTTAATCATTTTCACAGTTGGAGACCCATAGGGTTTTTGAAATGAACTCCCCATGCTTTCTGTAATGGGAGCAAAGAAATGAGAATTGTGACTACTTGGCTGTGGAGTCTCTTTAAAATGATTTTGCAATCGGAAAGCAAATGGAGTGAGTCCTAGTCACAGCCTGCACCCTGCAGACTGCCTTGGGTCGCCAGGACATTTGCTGACGGCACAGTTATGGCAGTTAAATTTTTGTGCATTTTGTTAGCTTTTGCATAAAAAAGTCATTTTTGAAGGGGTTGCAAGTCATTTGTGGCAGCTGATATATTGCTTGTAAATTGAGTTCTTTTCCCACCCCCATACCCTTTTTGTTGCACTGAGCTAAGTAGCCATGAAATTGCCTGAATAATGTTGTTTAAATCCAATCTCACTGCAGTGCCTCACCTCCGTGCCCAGCCCCCCCAAACAATGACACATGGTGGGGTTTTTAGAAATTGCATTTTTTCCTGTTTGCCACCTCAGTTCACAATGGCCAACCCTTGGTTCAACGACCGAGGACCATCGCCAGTCTCACTCAACACCAATGTCCAATTGATTTTTGAAATGAGTGGTTTCACTGGTCAAACCTTAGAGAGAATTTGGACGTAAAGTAAGAGGAAAACATTTGCTATACTGGCGTCTATTTATCTTTTTTTCCTGTTCAATCAAGCATTTTTGTGTAGTTTTTGTAACATCAATTTATATTACAAGGATACGGAGGCCAGCTTTTTACTTCTCTAACCTCATACTGGAAATATTTCATTGTCACGTATGAGCATACCATTTGTAAAACTAATGTTTGATTTATTTCATCACTGAGTTTATGTTTTTCTGCCTTTTTAACAAATACTTTCAGCAAAAAAAAACATCACTCAAGTATTCTGGACTAGGCTCTGCTCTCATGTAGTTCACCTTAACCAGGCTACTAATTCCCCATGGATTTTTAATAGGTTTTTGCTAGGGCCTCTCATGTACTCCTGGACTGAATAAAAAATGTGAAAATTCTGTGGCCAAGGGTAAGACCCAGTAAGTGATAGCACTTATAAATCTCAAATGTGCCACTGCAATTAAACAAGCTTTTATCCCCTCCCCTTCATCCCTCCTTGCCTGGTATCCAAGGCTAACCCAATTCAATGCTAAAGAGAGTCCGAATTAATTTCACAATGCACTGATTTAACAGCGCCTAAGGTACCAGGCTTTGACAGAATGAGTTTTTAAAAAGATCCATTTGTCTAGGGATGAACTTCCACAGGAGGGTGAGAAAATGAGATGGGAGGAAAGCTCAGATGGAGGACGAGAGAGCGAACGCAAATGAATGCCAGCCCTCATTTACAATTTTCAAACTCTGTGTGGGTTTGCTCTGAAGTGTTTCTGCTGTTTGTAATCTTGTGTTATTCGCCTGCTCTTGTGTCACGATGACATCTTTTAACCTGCTTTCAATCTAGCCGTGGTGCTGCTGCCAGATCTTACTATTCCAGGAGAACAGTGGTTATTACAATTGATTGACCCGGCTTTGTGAATGCCATTGCTGTCAGGCTCTTTGATATTTCTGGTAATTAAACCCCAGGTCTGCTGTTCGCTTCTTCTACGGGCATTTGTTCATTTCAGTCATTCTTTTTTTCTTCTTTTTTGTGTCTTGCAGGTGAACTAGTAGTGCCCACACACTCCCCTCGCTACCCCACTGCAGCAGAACTTGATGCCTATGCTCAGAAGACAGCCAACAGCCCACTGTCCATCAAGATCTTCCCCACCAACATCAGGGTTCCCCAGCACAAGCACCTTAACCGGACTGTAAATGGATATGACACCACAGGCCAACGCTATAGTCCCTACCCACACCTCCACACAGGGGGCTACCAGGGTCTCCTTGCTATTGTTAAGTCCTCCTCCTCGTCATCGTCATCATCGTCAACATCCACCTTCGTCTCTTCAAAAGGTGTTCTCAAGAACTCCGAAGGCAGACGGACTAAGCTCTCTCCAGCCCACATAGCTGTTGCCCCATACCCGCCCCCTAGTAGTAGCACTTTAGCCAGTGGCCATGGCCAAATGGTATACCACACTGGGCCCTCAAAGCCTCCAGAAGGCCCCAGACTGTCAGTGCCCCCAAATGTCACTGTAGCTGGCTCAGTGATCCCTGTAACGGGGGGCCGAGGCCTGGCCTTGCCCACGCAATCCAACCTTCCCTCCATTCAGAGCATCATCTATCAGATCAACCAACATTGCCAGGCCCAGGCTCTGCAGCAGGTGTGTCAAGGGGCTGCCACCGCACCATCGAATTCCAGCCCTTCCAAGCAGGGCGCGGCTGTCATGGGGGTCTCTTCTAACTCCTCCGGTGGAGGCTATGTGGTAGGAATGGGTCCCCAGGCTAACATGGTATATACAGGTCAGGGGCTGCCGGCTCAGAACTCAGAGGCGATGAAGACTGGTGTGTACGCAGATGGTATGGACTACATACTATGGCAGAAGCAGCAGCAACATCAGCAGCAACAGCAGCAGCAACAGGCTGTGCTCCGCATGTACAGTGGAGGCAGTGGAGGAGGGGGCGCCATCAGCAAGTCCCCGGAAACTTGTGTTCCAGGAGGAGGGATTATGGGTGCCCAGGTGTCCTCCTCTTCTTCTAGACCTTACCACCTGACTGCCAGTGCCAGTGGAGGAGGCGGGCTGGACAAAGTCAGCTCTTCCCCTTTGAACTGCGTGGGTATGCACGGAAACTTCTCAGTGGGTCAGTACTTTGCGCCGCCGTGGAACAGCGTGCTGGTGACACCTGACAGTGACTGCTACAATCCCCAGGAGCTTTTGGGCACCTCCACCGGAGGGCCGGCCACAGGGCACAGAGAGATGGGCTACCCTCACCACCATCACCACTATCACCATCACCATCACCACCCTGCTATAGACAGCGGGGGAGGTTTGTGCTGCAGCCTGCCCAGCAAAAGCTTGTGCAACACGTCTGTGCTGAGCAGCAGCTTGCAGTCTCTGGAGTACCTGATCAACGACATCCACCCACCCTGCATCAAGGAGCAGATGCTTGGCAAAGGCTACGAGACTGTGTCTGTGCCACGTCTCTTAGACCACCAGCATGCACACATCCGCCTCCCTGTTTACAGATAGAGGGGGAAGTAAAGGAAACGAATCAAGAGTTGTGAATTTGTGAAGATTCTCCAAGTTTAAAAAAACAAACAAAAAAAAACCAGATGTTTTTTTTGGGAGGGGGGGCAGGGGGTTGATGCGAGTGCCACTGCTTTAACTAGTGTGGGTGCTTAGAGAAGAGCAGTTGTCGTGCTGTGTGGCCCTAGGTTTGGTGGTTTCAAGGTAGGCTGTGGAAATCCCAAATACAAAAAGTGGTAGTGATTGCCAGTGGGAATGAAAAGGGATTTCATGATTCTCCTGATGTTCCAGCTTGTGGTTTGCCAATAGGATTTTGAATTAATTATATTTTTTGGTCTCCTGTTTTTGTTTTGTTTCTTGTTTTTTTTTTTTTCTCATGCCTGAACTTGTTTTGACCAGAATCATAGCTTGACATGAAGTGCATAAGCCACTTGTATCCCCATTCTAAATACTAAGGATGAAGCTACTGTGTAGGTTGTCACTGAAATGGTCACAAAAGGGCCAATATTTAGGGCTGCTCTCAAAATCCAAACTCTGTAACAGTACACACACGTGAACACGTACAAAAGACAAAAAAACAAAACATGTACTGACAAGTGAGAAGACTATAGGCTGTACTTGGGTGTTATGTACAAGGATCATAAGGTTGAGTTAAAAGGCTAGTACGATATTAGTTATTATTGCTGTTATAATAATTGATACATAAATTGCACTGCTTGAATTTTGTTAACTTTGAAGTTTGGAATTGGGTAGTTTGGATATGATATATTTAAGAAACTTGAAAAACTTGAACCTATTTTTTGTTGTTTGATATATTTGTAGGTATATTATATGTATTTGGCTGCTACGGGGAAAAGTGTCTCAAATGCTTTTTTTTTTTTTCAATTTAATTTTATTATTTTCCACTTTTTGTTTTGATGACTTAATAATTTCTCCTCTGGCTGACGTGCAGTTTCTTATGTCCTGGTGTGAGGCATAGTTGCTGCTTTGGTTCTGTAAGAACCTGTTTGGAGAGCTGTTTTTTTTCCTAACCAACACTGGAATCATACAATACAATAAATACTTATTTAAAAAGAAAACATTGCAAAAAAGAAAAAAAAAACATTACAAGAAAAAGAATTGTTACAATGAAGAATGTGACTGGGAGGTTATCTGCATAACCTTACATGTATGTTAATGCGTGTATGTGGCTGAGTGCATGCGTGCGTGCTTTGTCTTTTTCTTTTTTAAATTTGTGTTCTTCAAAATCCTCAGACTTTTTTTTTCTTCTTCTCAAATTCTGTCATTACAAGATTTTTACCACCAAGACCGAAAGACTGAGTCACCGGTCCCATAAACATTATATCTGCATAATGTACGGGAGATGGTTTGCAAATTCAACCCCTCTTATTTAATTTTTATTTTTGGAGGCTTTAGATTTTCAGTGGAGCTAGAGAGCATTTTCTCACGTGACTCCTTTATGACTGTATTTACAGCACTACAGCCTCTTCATCTGTCAGGTGCTATCATCATGAGAAAGTGGTGGAAACAAATGGAGATCATATCTTCGGGGTGCTATTCACCCCTAATCCTGCAAACAAAAACAAATGAAAACAATCATGCCCTGTCCTCTGGCATCAGATGAAATGAGACTCAAAGCTCACTGCTTTTCATTGTCCATTTCAGCCCCTGGTTGGGATGCGTTTAGCCGAGGCCAGTCTTAACTTGATGATTCAGAGCAGTGAAATATTTATTATGACTGTGAGATTCCCTTGAATGTACTGCACTTAAATTACTGCGATGTTTTATTGCCTTGTGGGACTCAAGTGAAAGAGAAAAATTGGATCAGTGCAGCAGTCCTCTGGTCTTAAATTAGCATTTCTTTTGTCAGTCAAATTTGAGTAGTAAATTGAATTTATTAACTGCAGAGGAAGAAAGAACCAGAGCTTTGTTGTGGGGAAATACTGGCATTAGTCTAGATTTATGAAGTGCAATTATTATGACTGTATTAACATTTTTTTTCTCTGAGCTTACACCAAAAAAAATGTAAACTACAGTTGTCAATACATTCCCAATGTACCACATCCCTAATCCTTATCCATCTTTTGTTTTGAGGTGTAAAATAAATTTCTTTAAAAATTTATTCAGAAGCCACATTTCGGCTTTGAAGTCTGTGATTATTTTTTAACATGTGACCTCTAAAAGGCAGTGGGAAGCTTGGGATATTGTTACAGCAGCTCTGTGAGACCCAGAGTGGAATACGGTGTGTGACATCGCTCGGATAATGTGCTGTAATGATAAACGTAGTAGTAGCAGTGCATTTAGATGATTGTCTTTTAAATGTTTACACTTTGGCCATCCAAAGATACGGGACAGACAGCACTGCTGAAAAACATTAACCGTTAATACTGAAATGCGACGGATATTTAAAAGAAGAAGAAGCATCGTTATGATTTGATCTTTTCCCTTAATTATTAACGATGAGCCTTAAATTTTGAGGTAATGGTGTTCGTAGGCATGCCACTGTATCTGAAAGCTGACAGAGATTCCAGTCTAAAGAGTACCAAGCCCCTTGGCTTAAATTTGCACAGTAAGCCTCTTTAACATTCCAGTGAAATTTTTCATGTTGTTTCAACAGCTTAATGCCCCAGCCGCGGTCTGATTCCAGCATATTTTCTGTCTTGTAGAAATATTTTGACAGATTTACAGATACATCCCTTCCCAAAATCCCTTCCGTTTGGCTTCTGCATCCAAGCATTAAACCCTGTCACATGATGTTGAAGTGAAGAGGAGACACTTGAGGCAGTGGAGCTTCTAGTGTCTGGCCTTTCCCACCAGTGGAGGTCTGAGGCACCAGGCCTCTCTACTAATGGGAATATTGGGTGACGTCTGGCTACAGGACACAGCCAGCAGAGAGTATTCATTCAGTCAAAGGGTTGAAATCAAACACCTTTCAAATAGTAAAGGATTTCCTCTTAGATACTGAAAGAAATCTGGCCATTTGAATCCAACTTCAGCCGAATAAACAGCAAAAATCCACGTGAATACGATCATTTGTCATTTAGAAAAATACAGAGTTAAAAACAACAACAGTTTTATTTAGTGAAAGGTGACTCTGTGCCTTTGTGGCCACCGTTCATTATGTACAGGCTCCAAACTGTCTGTCCCCTTGGTCCTTTACACACGTTAATGAGCTTCTATTGATGGGATGCATCTTATCCCTGGAACTGTGGTCCATTCCTCTGTTCCTGATTTGGACAATGGACGCTTAGCCCATATTAGGATAATAGAATTAAATTTCAAATAGATTTGTGCCTGGGCTGATCCAGCCACGGCTCACTCAGCTGCAGAGGCAGAGTGGCATATGGCATGTCATTATCTAAGCCCACCCTCCCCCTGTCTGGGGCCAACTGGGTTCAGCAGTGCTTAAACAAACTGAAGGTTAGGACTGGCTGGCTGGCGTTAAAGAGGAGGATAGAACGGTTTTCTGTGGGTGAGTGGGTGGGGGGAGGCTGCTAAATCACAGCCTCCGCGGCTTCTCTGAGGGCCTCAGCACTGCACCCTGGCACCTGGGCTCAGAGGCCTGCTTTAAAGGCTGGGCTGTGTTTGATCAAGGGGATTTGTTTTCTGTTGGATTATATATGGTTATATGGTTGTTCTCTGCCTGGCTGATGGGTCCTGTGCAATGTGACAGGTCTCAGCAAAAAAAACAAAAAAGGGGGGTTTGGAGAGAGGAAAGGATGTGGGCAAGGATTTGGGGGCCAGAGAAGCCTCGAAGCATCAGTAATCAGGATAATTGCCATATTCCTGGTGCCTGGTTGAAGCTTCCCCTATTTGGCTCTGCGGTCACATATCAGATTGAAGGCCAACTGAAATCACCTCTCTGGCTGAAAGACTTATTGAGCCTCAATCTGATTTTCCTAAGTAAAAAAACAAACAAACAAAAACTTCACTTTAAACTTTTTAACACTTCAACAAATATTTTGTCCAGGAAATTATTAATGACACAGAAATCTCAGTCTGAATGAGGACATTTGGATCTGTAATTTATCGCTGTAGCAACAGACCGATATTAACTGTTAACACATTTTCAAGGGCAGAGAGATGCTCTCAAGGATGGCCCGAGGGCAGAACGAAGGTGAAATGACTTATGCTGGTTGTAAAAATCCCTTAGTAAATCCCAATAACTCCACAAGGACCTTTACCCAGTGTAAAGGTCTAGTTGCATATTATGCGCCTTAAATACTGCTGAGAAGAAAAGAGAGCAGACGGGGTCGTTCAAAGCAGGGTCAGCTCTTTCACTCTCGGAAGAGAGGGAACGGGAGGGGATGGAAGGACAAAAAAATATATAGGCAGCTGCTCACTCTGTAGAGTCTTGGCGCTGCTCTAATCTACAGATGACAGGAGGGGGAGAAGGCCCAAGCGCCCCCCCACCCCCTTACTTCCACAATGATTTGGTCAACCTCAGTCATGTCCCCTGGCTGCCCTTGGGCCCCTGGGGCTCTCATCTCAGAGTTCTTCCCAGCATCCCTCCTTAACGTTACATCCACAAGGCCATTCCTCTCCATTTGGCTCCTACCTAGCAAGAAAATACCTTAATCAATAGTTCAGTTGGTTTTGAGGAGGCTTGTATTGTTAATCCACCAGCCTTATTGCTGTATTGCACAATACCATTAAAAGATTTTTCTGTGTTTTGTCACAAACGTTGAGCACGCTGCTGTCTCTTTAGTGCTGTCTGATAGAACTGGATGGGTCACATGTGAGCGCCGTAGAATTTAAATTTTGTTTTCAGCACCTGTTAAATGCACCGCAAGGTAAAAGATCAGCACAGATGAAGAAATAAATCAGGATCTTTATCCCAAAAGGCACAGCCTCGGAGCCCTTTTCTGAAAGGCAATGCAGCGGGGCATAATTCCAAGAGCGTTTTTATTTCTTCAGCGCCACAAGTATGTATGTTCAGCTGAGAAAGCTTATGGCCTCCAAATATTCATCTTGTTTACGCTGTGGGGATATTGCTGTATCCAATCAAAACTCAAAAGTCTGGGGATTTTGCTTATTTTCTTCCTGATTCCTTTCACTGTTTGTGAGGCTCTCCGAATGTTCCTGTGGACAAACAGGGCTGTTTTTCCCGAACGATCTCAAATGCACCAACGCTGCCAAAGTCTGAGGGTGCCGCAACCTTGAGAAAATAATATATATGGAAATGGGAAATCTATAAAGCATCTCTCTTATTGTTCTCCCTGCAGTGTTGTATTTATGTTTAAAAATGATTTTGTCTCCTCAGGATGAAAATATGTAAAGAATATCTTCCTTTTTTCTTTTTTGGAAAAATTATAATATATGAGACTCAGATTTTGAACTAAGAAGTCTGAATATTTAAAAAAAAGAAAAAGAAAAAAGAAAAAAAGCTGTAAAATCCTTTAGTCGTGGGGTTTTCAACTTTTGAATGTGCCTACAGCCAAGCATCCCAGTGATTGCTTACCCTCTCCAGTTCTGCAATCTCCCCCTAATCTCCCCACAACCATCATCTTCAATTTGCTGAAACTGCCACTGTCCCTCCTCCATCCCAACGATCACAGTAGATATTTTGTCTGTTCTCCCTGCTTTTTGTCAATCTCAGGACTGAAATTTCTTTATTTTAAATGTAGATGGTTGGTTTTCTTTTGACCTCTCGTCTCTTATGTATTATTGTTTGACATAAGTAAATAAAGCAGATGACTTCTATGTCTGTCCTGTTATCCGCATTACTCCTTACTTTCATTCCTTCTTTCTTAAACAATTTTTAAAATCCCTGAAGAAGACCTTCCTGTAATGAAGATAAGCATATCAGTCTTAGGATTCACTTTGTGCATCACCACCATATGCCGCGGCGACAATCCTTTTCACCTTTACAGCAGTCTATTGCAGCATCGGTAAGGCCTCGCAGTTCATGACGCATGTGTGGTTTGTGCTTTTGTTGCCAGGCAAGCTTTGGGACACAAAGGAAACAGTAATTTAATAATGTGGGATTGCCTGATTTTTTTTTCTTATTTTTTTGCTCTCAAGCAAAGACAAATGCAGGCTAAGTCACAGTATACACAAATTTTCAAAGTGAAAGCATCTCCTTTGATGGTTGGACACACAAGCTGCGGCATAATGAAAAAACAGACCTATAAAATAACCACTGAAAAATTCCCTCCAGTTAAAACACCAAAAACATTTACACTTGTTTTTTTCACTATATTTAACTCCATCGCTTATATTATATAACAGTCTAATATCAACTCATCTATAGGAATTGTGTGTTGAGAATTTTCCAGCACTCGAAGTAACTCAGCATACACTTAAACTAAATGTTGAACAACACAGGTACCTTCAACACCTCAATATTGACACTTTTCTTCTCTTTTCTCTCCTCACTGCCAGCCTCTCCACCCACCTAAAACATCAGATAAGTCGTAGACTGATGAGCCAGCTGCCTCCACCAGAGCGTGTGGTAGTGGGAGACTGCACACTGATTTCATACACGCTCGCTCAGATAGAAAAAGAGCTCTGTGGAGCAGAAATGCTTCTCTTATTAGCAAAACTCATTCACCTGCACGCCACATTGAGTCCCTGGCAATTTCACAATAAATCATGAGAGATGCCTGTGGAGGCCGGGCAGCCGGCTGAAACTCTGCCATGGCCATGCCCTCGCCTGTCAGTTTAGACACTCTGAATCATTTCGGGTTCAGCGGCCTCGTTTCATCTTAGATGAACTGAAAGGTCATCTCACACGCCGCCTAACCAGTATGTTCCTGGCTCCTCCTCTTCATCGCCCGGTGCTTCAAGTGATTGCTCGCTACGTTTAGAAGCACCCCACTGCGGTGAAATATTTCACTGGGGATCATGGAAGGAATTATTTCGAAAAGACAATTAGCACTGGCTGAATACAGCAGAAAATGTGCTCCTGGAGTTATCTCTCAGGTCTGAGCCTGACATAATCTTCCCTTGTAGAGCATCATTCAGTAACGATTCATCATCTCTTTTGCAATGAAAGTTGGAGAAATGATTAGTGGGAGTGTCACCAATATGAGCTTTCTTCTCTGTGCTGGTCTGCTGGACCTCAGGCAGACAATTAATGTTGTACTTTAAGTCATCAGACAGTCTGGGCTGTTGTTTGGTGATGAAAGAATGAGCTGGCCCAAGTCCAGTTCAGTATCCACTCATCAGCCTGAACACCTTAAAGCTTAACTGGCCAGACAATAGCGGAACAATTTGTTCTGCCAGTATCTAAGGTGGTTAGTTTACTTTAAACTTTGCTGAGACTGGCAACTTTTCCTTTTGTGTGGTTACTAAATGAAGGGCAGTTACGACATGATCCTTCTTGGCTGTCACTTGGTTTGTTGAGACACATTTGTGGCAGCAAGCATGCACATGCTGCAAGAGAGTGAGCCATTTTGTTAACAGTTCACACTTCCTGTGTAAGTGTGCGGTTCTAGACTTGCTGACAGTGACACTCGCAGGACCGAGTCCTGCCCTACTTAACAGGCTACAGAGAGGAGGGAAGGCCAAGTTGTCAGCAGCGCTAGGTGCTCACTGCTTAGATAAACCTGGAGGATTAGTGGCCCAGTTAAAGTTGGGGCAAAGAGGATTAGCCTCTTCTCTGAGGTGGCGAGAGATTCCCTGTGTCCTTCAGCGCTGCTGGCCTCAGTGAGCGAGGAGAGAGAGGAGAAGGACAAGAGGTGTCCAGTCAGGCTTTGGTTATCATTAGTGAGAATTGCCATTCCAGCTCCTCTTTAAATAGGGAAAGGTGAGGTGTAACGATGAAATGTGAAAGGCAATGAACCAGTCCATAAATTGTTGCCAGCTTGTGCTTTCATTAGGAAGGCAAAAGCCCATAATCACTGGCCAGGTGTTTCCAAGGGCATCAATAAGACCTGAGGTCCAGTGGGAAAATATATTTCATTGGTGAACCGCATTCTGTTCACTTTACCATATGTTTTTATAACAGTTAGCCCTCACAATTGATTATTTACAGCTATAATTAAAATATACTATATATAGATGCCCTAGAGTCACAACGGTAGACATGGCTAACACTCTGTCAACTGGAATCTCAACTTGCAACAGCGGTAGAGGAATTTAGAGCTCTGCAGCCATCAGCAGGCCAGAGAAGGAACTGCAAGTGATGCAGATGAGGATTGCAGAGGTCAGGAATACTGCATGAGTTTATGAAAATTAAGGTTCATTTTGACTTTTGTATGCATTTTATGTAATTTTAAAACACTGTAATGCAGATCTTAGATTGTAGAATTGTATTTTTTTCATGGAAAGAAAGGGAATATTCTTTATAACTATTATGATAATAGCCCTAACTACATATGCTCACTGGCCACTTTGTCAGGCACATATGTTCAATTGCTTATTAATGCAAATCAGTCAGTCACCTCCTGGTACCTCACTGCATTTAGACATGCAGACATGGTCAGGATGACCCGCTGAAGTTCAAACTGAGCATCTAAATGGGGAAGAAAGGTGCTTTAAGTGACTTTGAACATTGCATGGTTGTTGGTACCAGGCGGGCTGGTCTGAGTATTTCAGAAACTGCTGATTCACCGGGATTAACCCACACAACCGTCTCTGGAGTTTAGAGAGAATGGAAAGAGAAAAAAGAAAATATCCACTGAGTGGCAGTTCTTTGGGTGAAAATGCCTTTTTGAAGTTAGAGATCAGAGGAGGCCAAACTGCTTCCTGCTGATAGCAAGGCAACACTATCTCAAATAACCACTCATTACAACCAAGCTATGCAGAATACCATCTCTGAATGTGCAACACGTCAAACCTTGACACAGATGGGCTACAGCAGCAAAAGACCGCATTCTGTGCCACTCCTGTCAGCTTAAGAACAGGAAACCAAGGCTACAATTTGCACAGGCTCACCAAATTTGGCCAAAAGAAGATTGCAAAAACAGATGAGTCTGAATTTATGCAGCAACCTTTGAATAGTAGGATAAGAGTTTACCATAAACAGCATGAACGCGTGGCTCCATCCTGCCTTGTATCAATGGTTCATGCTGATGCTGGTGGTGTAATGGGGTGGGGATATATTCTTGGCATGCTTTGAACTCCTTATCATTGTTCAAACCTCACAATTTACCTTGGTATTGTTGCTGACCATCTGTATCCCTCTATGACCAAAGTGTACCCATCTTCTAATGGTTGCTTCCGGCGAGATAACGCACCATGTCATGAAGTTCAAATCATTTCAAACTGGTTTCTTGAGGATTAAAATGAGCTCACTATGCTACTGACTGCCTCCACAGTCACCAGATCTCAATCTAATAGAGAACCTTTGGGAGATTTGCATCATGGATGTGCGGCTGGCAAATCTGCAGCAGCTGTGTGATGCTATCATATCAACATGGACCAAAATCTCTGAAGATTACCTTGTTGAAACTGCGCATTAAAAATTAAGGCAGTTCTGAAGACATAAGAGGTCCAATCAGGTACTGGCAAGGTGTAACTAATAAAGTGGCTGGGGACTATTATTAAATGCAAACTAAACAACAGAAGTCATAAACTGATAGCAATTATTGGCACAGAAAAAAAGGAATCCTTTCAGCATTTCCTCAGATGGATCAAACCACATTAGACCGTCGTCTCACTCACTGTGGTCTAATGTCAGGTTTTATTTACCTTTGGGAGTAAAATAGCAACATGGATTTTTAATCATTCAAAACCTAACTGGAAAGTATTTTCTGTAGAAAAAGCACCCAAAAGACAAAAAACATATAAAACACAGTCAGTGTTTACTGTTCTGTGCAGCAACGTACAAACAGTATAAAAATGAACAGTCATAGATTGGAAATGTAAACATAATGTGACTTTTAACAGTAATGAATAAGTGAAAATGAAATGTACAGCCCATCAGCTGTTGTGTAATGCAGTAACACAAACAAGCAGTGTTTTTAAAAACAAGCTATATAGGGCAAGGAGCCAATTGCAATGAAAACACTGAAGCAAATAAGGGGAAGTACATAATGGAGGGACTGAGAGTTGATTATGCAAACACCCCAGCTGCAAAAGAACACGGAAGGCTATTGTCTTCCATTTGCATACTTGCTTGACAACTATAACCTGCTCATCATGCCCACCATGTTCAGAATAATGTCTCTGTATACGTGTAATAATGTAAATAGTGTTTCAGTCCAAATGACGGCTGTGTCTGCCTAAGCTGGAATTCCTAGCCTGAGATTGTCAAAGTTTGGAAACTATTTAATTAATATCATATAAAAATGGAAAGAAATAGACTTTCTATAATAGATGTGTCCTCTTTGCAGACACTGCTCCCCTACACTTTAGAAAATGAACATTTAAATCAGCATGTGGAGCGTAATTAAGAACACACGGGGGAGGACTTTGCAAAACAC